AGATAGAAAATTGTTTCAGATGTTGTAGGCCCAAAATAATTGTTAGGGCTTTGTTACAGCAACTGTATTTTTGCAATTGTATTGCAAACTGAGTTTGCAACTTTTTTGCAACTCGAGAGTGTTGGTTTCAAGTGAAATAAAATACATTGGTTTGGGTGTTATTAATGAATGCAAAGGAAAATGGGAAACAATATTAGCATCCCGTGAGTATTTAGGGCTTTACATAAAACTGAGACCTCATCTGTTCTCCTCCTTATTTAATAAAAATATTGGTTTAAATCTGTTGTCCCCTGTATTTGGAGCAAGGCCTCCACCTTGAAAAATCCTCTCTCTTCAATAATTATCTTACCAACTGTGCTATTCCGCAGGTTGTATGTCTTTCGTTCTCCTCTGTTGAAGTTGCTTCATTTTACAAAAAATAGTTACAGTTTCACTGGAGCAGGAGTTGGAAACATATATTGCTTTGGCTACCAGACCAGGCAACAGAAACACATTTTTCTCCACCGTGATGGAGATTTCAGTATTTCTATAAAGTAAAATGACTTCAGCAGAAGAGGTGGAGAAAAATCAAAATCTACTCCCTGCTTGCAAAGGGGGTTTGAATGCACACTTGCTCACCCCAAAGGTGTTTCCAAAAGAGTGTCTAAATGGCCTTGCGTGCTGAAGACTTGAAAAAGCAAAATTTTCCCTTTCAGAAATGCCAAAATTATTAATTTAGCTAATTCCAGGTTTGGGGATTTTGTTTTTAATTGTGTATATATATATATTTATTTTTTTTTAATATTTGGCTGGAGTATTACACTAGTCACACCTATGTTTGTGGCTGGCTCCCACTGCTCTGTACCTACATCTTTCATGACTAAATGATTTGCGTCGAGATGGGAACAGCAGGCTTTTATGAGCTTTAAACCGGACCTTTGGAATTACCAAACCTGGGAGAACCTCAAACCAAGGCATTGAAACTGGAAGCTAGTTTCTGCCACCACTACTCCTGCAAAGAAGATCCTTACTACATGCACAGCCCTTACAACACAGCGTGGTGAAACCAAAAGAGGAAAAAAACCCCAAACCTCATCCTTTCAAATATAGTTTCTACATCACGAGTGAGATGATCCGAGCAGAGCAAGTGGCAGGTATGTGTACAACACCTATTCACTGGCGAAACTCCCTGGTGCAGGGAAATCGCATTTGACAGATGCTTCAGAAAAGGACCGGATCATCTGCAACTGTAATTTTGGTTTTTTTACAAATGTTAAACTCAAGCGGCAGATGTATAAAGAACACCTCTTCCAGCGAGTGACGCTGAAGCAGCTCATTTTGTCATTTCTTCTGGGTCTAGACTAAACGGAGGCTGTGAAGCCGCTGTGCTGTAGCTGCCTGCGAGGACAAAGGCTGCCTTTCTGAGTCGGGATGAAGCCTGTTTTCCAGTGGAGGTTTGCCAGTGAAAGGCAGAACCTCAGCAGGACCTTAGAAATGCAGCCCTCAGAAAACCTCTCCGCTGTTATTGCTTCATCGAACTGCTAAAAATACTGAATGGAAAATGCAAGTATTAAGGAAATGAGGTAGATTTGGCCTTTCTGAGCTGGATGACTTCCAGTTTCATCAGCTTCCCAGAATCCTTGCTGCAAAAATGAAGAGCTCCTTGTAAATCTCGGAAACCTGTCAGTGTTTTTCCTCTCATGTGGCTGTGCTGGTTCATGGGGTACAGCACGCGGGGAGACCTGTCAACATCGAGCAGCGAGTACAGAGCTTATTAAGACTGCTGGGATTGCTTGAGACAAATGCTCAAACACAAGACCAAACCACGAATTTCCCAGAAAATTATCCTATGGGGCTGCCGGAGAGGAGCCACGTGGCTGAGCCTGCTGCTGTGCTGGCCCACGAGACGTGCTCCAAGGGGAACGCGTGGGGCCACCTTCTGTGGCCTTGCCAAGTGAAAAGCATTGAGAAGTCTTGTTTGGTCATGGGAGGTCCTCTTCTAAAATGATCTGCACGTAGCCAGAACGCCTGAGCAAGTGAGAGCAGATTAATGTCACGTTACAGGTTATGTGAAAATAGAAAATGCAAGTTTTGGATTTCACATTGCTGGAAAGAAGTCAGGAGAAGCCGGTATCCTGACTGCAGAAGGAGACAACAGGCGCTCTTAATGGGTTTAATGTGCAACGTAGAGAAGCCAAAGGGCTGGAGGTTTGCCTTGGGTGGTTAAAACTACTCGCTCAGCGAGAGGCAGACAGTTTAAATTTAATGGCTATTGCATATATAGAGGCTCTCTGGGAGGACGCAGCAAGCACAGAGTGCTTTTGCACCTGCAGAAGCTCCTGCCGTCTTGATGATGAGCATCATGCATTATACAGCTATCGGGGATTTTGGGTTTTCTGCAGCATGTCCTGTGGGGCAGAGTGGCTGGTGATCTGGTCTGCAGAGCTGGCCCTGCCTCATAGCTGTGTCTTGCCTCTGCTCCTCAGGCTCTCCATGAATTCTGTAACCTGCTGGCTCAGTCAGTGTACGTGACTGTGTTTCTGCTGGCTCAGATATAAGGAAGGTGTATTTTGAGGTATTCCCAAAGCATGGCAAGATGTGGCGGATGTTTTGGGGAGTGAGGGGAGGTTTGGAATGGGGATCTCCAAGCAGGTTCACCAAAATTCTCCTTCCAGTTGCACCTTTAGGGGCACCCCCCAACAGTCAGGCCTGCCCAGGACTGAAAAGGTGTTTGCTGCATTTAAAGCTGAGCCAAGAATAAACTGCGCATTTCAACCACATCATTGCAGATTCCTGGAAACAAGGCCTGCCTTCATGCTTGGAGGGCTTCCCTGTTCTGCCAGGAACCACAGGGAAGAGCAACAGGAGCTTTGGCTGTAAACTGCTGCTGAAGGCGTACTGTCATGGGCGAGCACGTACAATACCTCTCACTGTGCTCGCCTAAAGCCTTTCCAGGACGAGCCTTTGCCCACATGCCTTAGCAGCCGTTTTTGATTCTCAGAAGGGGAAAAATAAGTGTCTTCTGCTGAGCATCCCACCCAGAGCAAACACTGCAGCGTAAGACAGGCGTGGGCACTGTCCTTGGCATGCAAATTTCACTGGCCACCAGATAGCTGGCAGGCCTGCTGGGAAAGGCAGCATCATTGCAGAAGGCTTTTTACTGGCTTGTGTTGCCATGCCGTGTTAAAGTTGAAGAGAGGGGATGTATGATCTTGCGATTAAGATTCAGAGCTGGAATTCAGGAAGCTGGTGTTCAGTCTTGGCTCTGGGGGACACGGGCAAATTTCTTAACCTCTACTCCTCACTTTCTCATCTGTTCAAAAGAGGCTAATAATACTTTTTCTTACCTCTTTAGGACAGGAGGTGGTTCTGATTGTCTAGCACAACATGTCATTGATCTTTCCACTGCAACAGTGAAGTGGAGGGAGAGCTGTCTCAAGCTCCAGAGAAGCTTCTGGGGCTGTAGAAATGCCAGTGCACAACAGAGCAATTGACCACCTGATTTTCACTTTAAGATCATAGATGGAGGATGAACAGGATCAAGCTGGATTCAGATTTCAGCTCACACATAGGTTTTCATATTGATATGGAGATGCCACCATCTATGTTGCCATCCTCCCCACTGCTCCCCCTTCCCAGGGAAACAGATGTCCAACCAGAGGGCAAAATAGATCAAGTTCCAGCATGGATTTCATGTAAGGGGCCCTGAGACCCTCAAATGTATTTAGTTATTTGATCCTTATCTGGGCATCTGAATGACTTTGAAAGTGGCTTTGTCTAGGCCTATAAGGTGTCCTCCATCTCAGTAAAATGGCGATGGTAACGCTTCCCTGCCTCAGAGCTGCTCTGAGGGCTCAGTGCAACTCTTGGGCCGATACCTGAGACAGTTCAAAAAATTAACTGTGACCTACTTGTACTGCACAGAGCTCCCATCATAGCTCCTTTCCTCCATCTGTGACGGTGCCTAGAGCTTGTTTGGCAGCTGAAAAGCAGAGGTGCTACGAGCTGGTATGTATTTTTAGGAAGGCATTGCCTAAGTCTGCAGATGACTCCGTGCTTTCTGGTCATGTTCCTGACGGTGCTTCTGACTGTGGGCTATTCCCTCAGACAATCTCAAGGTCAGGCAAGCTGATAAGCTTTGTTAGGGCTCTCTCATTTTGGCAGCTCTGCTTTTGATGGGGAGCTCCCAGGCTGTTAGAGGTGACGTATTGGAAAATGAGCAGCAATGACCTGCAGCTTGTTTGGCTGCAGGTCTCTTGTGACAGTGACAAGGATGTCCCCACCCCAATGAGCAGTAGGGGGGACGTTCACTTCTTACATTAGTGCAGTCCTGCTGGAATCGATACATCTGGGAGGACTTGAAGACTTTGCTTTATGATGGAGGCATCCCATGCTGGCCGAAGATTCCCCCTGCCCATGTTGGCGTGGTGTCGGCAGGGAGTTTCTTTTCTTCTCAGCTTGGATAACACTCCAGGTGGGGTTTATCAGTCAGGCTTGCCGCAATACAGCAAAGCCTGGGACTTAACCCCCCACACCTCAGGAGAAAAGGGGATCTGCTGCCCCTCTGAAGAGGTCTTGCACACCTCCCTGGCTTCAGCTGTGTGCTCCCAGCGCAGCGCTTTGCTGAATCAGAGCATGTCCTGTGCGGTGCATTTTGCTGCATCATAACATCGTTACACAGTTTGACAGCTCTGGCAACCTCTGCTCCAGTGAGTCCTAGAGCTAAATGAGCGGGAGCTCTGCCAGCCAGGCTTGTGGTGTGTTTGGAAAGCCATGTGGGCGAACTCGTATAGCACCTGCCCATATTAAATGCAGTTCGGAAGAATGATGTTTGTTCCTCCCTCCCTTCTGTAAGAGATGAAGCAAAAGAAAACCCCTCCTGCATGACTTCTGTTTATTTTTTTATGATGATGAGGCTTGTCCAGTTTACAGGTTAAGCTTCTGAGGCCTGGGACGCTGCCTCCATTTGTGCTGGGGCTGCTCCAAGCATGTAGCAACTCGGTGAACAATTCTCGTTGCAGGGACTTGAAGCTGGACAACGTGCTGCTGGACTACGAGGGTCACTGCAAGCTGGCAGACTTTGGGATGTGCAAAGAGGGCATTCACAATGGCATTACCACAGCCACCTTCTGTGGAACACCAGACTACATCGCTCCGGAGGTATAGGAAACCTTTCTTTGGCCAGGAAAACTTGGTTACAATATGAAAAGCGTAGGTTAGCTTTAGAACAGCAAGTGTACTCTCTGGTGTCTTTAGCTACACCTTATTTGACTGCTGGGTGCAAGGTTTTCCTCCTAGATGTATTGCTTGTATTATCAGTCCCTTGTGCAAGCAAAGCATGAGTAAACCTTCAGGCTGCTATAGGCACCAAGATAAGCCTATATTTTTCTTTAGGAAACGTGAGGTGAAGAATGGAGGCACAGCTGCAAAAATCTTGAGAGAGGCACATACAGATACTGGCCCAGTTTGATTGAAAGGAGATTGAATTCTCCCTCGTTTCCCAGTTCCTTTTTCTACCTCCTCCTGTTCCCTGTCATTCCCCAATCTCACTACAAAATTAATAAACACCTCTTTTAAGGAACAGCTGCCCTCCAGATGCTGCCAGATGTTCTGACAGGGTTTCAGATCCTTCTTCAACACAACTGAATTTTTGTCTGTGGTTGGTGTTTGTGCCTTTCTCACACACTCGCGCTCCTTCCCCTCTCCAGCTGAAAGCCTTGCCGTTGGAGCCGGGTAAGCATTTCCTTCCCAGAGGCAAGGAATAGGCGATGTCAACCCGCACACATGGCTGCTCTGCTGCTTCAGAGGCTCAGCCAGTTTTGCTGAAATGCCCCTTCTCCTCCTGCTAAGCCCTAGCATCATTTCTAAGGGCTTGTTTCCCAGGTGACCCTGTGAGCAGCCAAGCTAGTTCAGCCCTTGTTTAATGCATCTGATGTACCTTTGTGCTGATCTGGGGGTTTCCAGCTTGAGATCGCCTATATGTTCCTGGACATACAGCCAGCCTGGCAGAGAGCGCTGTTAGGACGTAGCAAGAACTTTTGCATTAATGTTTCCAAATCCTTTTTCCTCCCCTGCTCAGTTTAAGAAGCTTCAGGGTTGATATTTCTTTCCCATCCCTTCTTCAGATCCTGCAGGAGATGCTGTATGGCCCTGACGTAGACTGGTGGGCCATGGGCGTGCTGCTGTACGAGATGCTGTGCGGCCACGCGCCCTTCGAGGCGGAGAACGAGGACGACCTCTTTGAGGCCATTCTGAATGATGAAGTCGTCTACCCAACGTGGCTTCAGCAGGATGCGGTGGCAATCCTCAAAGCAGTGAGTTCCTTTGGTCGTTTGCGTGTTCTCTGTCCTGGCTTTCTTCAGCCCAAATCTAGCAAAAGAAGACAGGGCTGGGGTATGGGCACTCAGAAATTGCAGTTACCCTGACCCTGATCCTTTTCTTATCTTGGATTGAAGGGTAAACAAAAAAAAAAAAAATCCTGCCACATTTAGGTGTGTTTGCATAGTTATGTCCTCTATACGGTTCAGCAGCCAACTTGGCAGGCAAAGTGTGTGCATGTCTGTGTGTCTGGGCATTCCCCTGCTGACTTAATGATTTACAACATATGGTCACCTTCCAGAACAGAAGTAGCAGGTATACACAGTATTTAATCAGTAGTGACCATATGATTTCCATGCAACTGGAGTGGCCAAGAGGTGAAGTCTTCATGATAATCCTTCGTTCTGACTGTTGGTAATACCAGCCATCCCCCAGGGATTGCTGTCTACCTGCATAAAAAGGCAGGTTTTTGATTTTTGTGTGTTTGGCAGGAAAAAAAAAAGGGGCTGTACAGCAAACAGTTTGAGGAGAGTTGTTGCTGGCTACACTTAGTCCCTGTTCTACCATGCGTTCCTGAATTTTCCCAGGAGCGCTCTTATCCGTGTGCCTCACATCCCATCGTGACATGGGAACGAAGCTTTTTAAGATTTCAGGCTGTGCGTGTACAAACAGTGCCTAGTGCACTGGAACTGCCTGGCTTTACTGTAATGAATCAAAAGGTGATTAAATGACGAGGTTGTTAACCTAGGAATCAGGAGACCTAACTTGGCTGTTCTGCTACTGACTTCTTCCTGCCCCTGACCAAGGCACTTAATATCTCTAAGCACCCTTTGGAGAGAGAAGGATCAGAGTATTTCCTTTCCTTGCAAAAGCACTGTGAACAAAGATGCATTTAAGACTGGATGCTACTAAATATTGTAGTAATAGACGATCTAAGAAATAGTTGGATAAGATAGTAATTTATAGTAACTTGTGGAGCACTGACTCAGAGAAATGGGTTAACGAATGATGGGAGCATTTAAAGGAAAGAGGACAGTTTGTTTCCATCAGATCTTTAATAGTGAGAATCCGGAAGTTTTCTGCTGAGAGGTTTCTGTTGGATATGAACTGAGCAACTACTTTCTGTAGCTGAAAATGCATCTAATAAATTCTACAGAAATCAACTGAGAATAAAATCGCCTTCTTGAGGAGGCAAAGGGTTGTGCTTTGAAATCACAGGTTGTGCTCAGGAGTGATCGTTTGTCATGCTGAAGGCCCTCTTGGGTTTTGGAAATAACCTGCAACATATTTAAAATAAAAAAAAATGTGAAGTTCAGACTCATTGCAGTTTCTGGAGCAGCGTTCATGTTGTTGGATTTGGACTCTTGAATGCCTGAGCCAATTCATCTTCTGCAGTGACAAGTAATAGCAGAGTGGATTTGTTGCAGGTATCTTGCATAAGTATGAGATGGAGGTAAAATGCGGTCAGATAGATGCTCATCATAACAGGGATTTCAGGGTATAGTAAAATATGATTGGTGTTTTAGCCTCTTGATGAAATGCTTATTTTCCTAATTCTGATAGGAGCCTCATAGAAACAGCCAGCGCAAGCTGCAGTCACCCCAGGCTGCTCTAGCCCATGTTCAGAGCCCAACTTTTAACAGTGTGTCCCTTCTGTGATTAACAGGCAAGCAGCATGATGAGAGGCACTGGAGAAGGAGGGCCAGAATTGAGGAGGGAGCTAAGAATTTAAATAGAGATCGACCGAGCGTCTCCAAAACTGCACAGTCAGCTTAGCAATTGCTGGTTACTTGCCTGAAAAAGGTCTCCTCTCCAGCCGCTTTGCCTGTCTGCTCTATCACATGTTGCTGGTGAAACCCAAATGAAAGCAAAACTGCCTCTCTGAAATGCGCACGCGCTGCTCGAGAGAAGCACTACGCTATGTCTGCTTTGGGGAAAAGGCTGAAATTTAGGGCATTAACCAAGAGCCTTGTGATTAACTAGTGGGAAGTTACAGTTGATATTTTTACTGGACCTTCAGTTCTTTAGTGTTTCTGTTCCCTGAGTGGCTGCTACCTGGAGGTGACTTCTGCATCATGTTTTATAGCGCTGATGATAGTTTGCTACAGCCTGAATTTCTGCAACCTCATAGTAGCTGCTTTTGGCTTCGAGAGCTGTTCACTAGAGGAGCTCTTCATTTTCTCCTCCCTTTCTTACGCTGAGCTTTTGGAGTCATCAGAGCATGTTGGCTTTAAAGGGGAGGAAACATCCTGTCGTGAGATTGTCTGGGGCTCTAGATTAAAATGAAAAAAACCCCCACACTTTGATTTCTTTTGAATGATGACAAATGTGATCACTGCTGAGGTATTATATTTGCAGTGTACTGATAATGTTTGGTCAGTATTTTTAGGTGTCAGTATAACACAGAGTTGTGAACCTGGCTTTTTTGTTCCCTTATGGTTATTTTATGAAGGAAGACAGTAGATTTTCTAGCTGCTAAATATGTAGATTTTTTTCTCACAGACCTGATGCTAATATTATTTCTCTTAGATATGGCATTATTACTGTGTGAGCATCTCCTAATCACTACTATGTTTACCTCCAGCAAAAAGTGAACTTGAGCTCCCTGATTTACAGCTGTGACAGTGCTTTCTAACCCATCATATTAAGAGCTCTGGAAAATCAAAGCACTCAACTAGTGCAGTGACATAAATGATTATAAGTAATTACATGGCGTGGGAAGCCTAGAAAGACCGGGGAATTAAACCTGGGGTCTCTTATATTGCAGGCTAAGGCCTTAATAGCCTTAATAACTGGATTATCCCCTCACTAAAAGTTCTGGCCTCTAACCTTGAACAGGACTAGTGAGAATTTGCTTAGTCTTGAGCAGTACAAAGCTCTGAAACGAAAATCAAATTCTTCTGCCAGAAGAACAAATGCTCTACAAATGGATATATCTAGGTTTAGAAAGCACTTGATCCCTTTGTCTTCATGAGTAACTTTATTGTAAACAAGGATAATAGGTTTTAGGACCCATTTCACGGATGCTGTTATTTTTTTTCGCTTTTGTTTACCATAATTGTGCTTCACCGATTTCCCCCCATCAGAAACCACCTGATTTCTGAAGGTTGCATCCTGTTCATCTTTGCAGTTTCCTGATAATAACCAAGATAGGTCCTTAGGACCTCATTTAGGTCAGTGGGTGTTCTTGGCGTGTTTTTGAGCACTGGTACCAAGGAAAACAAATATGACCTCAATGCCCTGGGACCTTGTTTAGAATTGAAAGCAGAAATATTTGTGCTCTAGAAAAAGAAGTTTTTATCTATTTCCCTTTTTAATGTTTTTTTGTCCTTGTTATTTTCCCTCAGGAGCTAGGGAAAGAGTAGGGCAGAGCTAAACCAGTGTAAATCAGCAGGATTTTGCTGGAGTCACGACTCCCAGAGGAGGGAAGTAGAAAATCTCTCTCACGTACCCTGCCCCGTCTGAGTGTGTTACTGGGGAATTTAGGTATTGATGGTTCAAGTCAGGCAGAGAGGACTCAAACTGTCTCCCCTGCTTGTGTGAGCAAGTCAAACTGGGCACGGATTTGCTTGTGGGAGTAAAAAAAGTGCAGAAGAGGAGAATTGCTGCTGAATGGATTCAGACCACTTCAGCTCATTCTAAACGTAAGTTTTGCTTTGATTCTGATTCCCCCAAAAAAAGGTTTCTCCATAGCCCTTCCTGAATGCAGTCATAAGGAGCTTATGCCAGAGGAGCTATTGGGTTTGTGTCTGTAAAAGAAATTCTTTCAAATACTCTTTGCCATCAGCTGACAGAGTAGTCACCAGTGTCTGATGATGAAGAGACTGTGAAAGAGAAACTTTGTGAGCATGCAGGGAGCAGAGACTGCCACACCGTATCTTTTACGGTGAGAGTGCAGCTGGAGTTTGCTTTGTTACAGCATGTCGATGTTCTGGATTTGTAAATTGTCACTAACAAAAAGTGCTTGAGCAAAGAGGGTGGCTTTCCAGGCAGCCGGAGGCTTTGGGATTCAGCTGAGTGAACTGCAAAATGAAATACAATCCTCTCGTTTCCCATAAGCGGGGTGGTATTTTGGCAGCATGTTTCACTCGCTTCACGTATGACTTTCTCAAATGCAATCCAATCACACTGTCTTGCTAACAGTCAGGCTTAGTTGGAGGGGAGAATGAAGGGACACAGTGAAAATCGGGTCTCAAAAGTCGATGGCGTAATGGGAGGCAAATTCACAGGGAAAGCTGCAGAGATTTTCCTTTCCAAGTCTGGTTTCAGATGAGGAGAGAAGGGCTAAGCCTATCGAGTCGCTCCACGGACTGATGATCTGAAGTAGCAATGGTTGGCCCAAAGGCTTGGAAACTTGGATGAGCAATTGCAGCTTAGATGTTTTCACATTCAGAGCCAGGTAACAGCAGGGGCTGGAAAAACAGCACCATCTCCCCAGGAAAGCGTTAGCATTGCTCTGCCTTCTGCACCCTGGATTTCTGAACTCCTGTCACAGCTGAGTCTGCTGAAGCCGAGGGTGTCTCTTGGCGTTTATGTGCCAACCTCCAGTCTTAATGTGAGCTCTGAAACACTTCTGGCCTAGCTGAAATGCTCCTTCCAAAAGTGAGGCTTCGGCAGCCTTGCCTGTAGCTGTATATTTTGGGGATACAAATGAGACTAAAGCCTGTTCTCCCTCCAGCTTGTTAAAACCATGCATTTTTGAAGAAGACACTACTGGAGTTAAGAGACTGGGCAAAAATGGTTATGTCCCCCTCCAAGTGGTTTTTGTGTGAAAAATAAACACCAGGCAAGAAAAGAGGAAGGTGCAGAGGAAATTGGCTGTGGTTTTAGCAGCCTGCACTCCTGCCCAGCGCAGGTGGAACAGCATGAGGGAATCCAAATGCCGGTGGATTAGTGCGAAGAGTGAGAGGGATTGAAAGGTGAAGGAGCTCAGCTGAGAGCAAACATGACCCGTATCTCGGAGAAAAATTATGTCAGCAATACAGTGCCAAGGATG